ATGTATCTTATTTCGCCAACTGCTTTGCCATATATCGTGGCAATGTCAGCTCGCTTTTCCTCTTCGTCGGTGGGTGGATCCATTTTTATGCCGTCGAGATATGGGGTGGTCCTCTTGTTGCATCCTGTCTGCGCTAGGAGTGTGACCACGCTATTGATGTGCGACGGTTGGGAGATGTGTATTCCCTGAGTTGTGTACCTTATTTTCCAGTTGAGGTACGAGGTCGGGCGTCCCATTCTTTTCACTGTATATTTTTTTTGGAGTGTGTGGTACAGTGAGTCGATCATGGATTTTGTGGTGGCGATTGGTAAAAAATCGTCCATGCTTATGCCAACTATCAGCTTGTCCTTCCCTTCTGTTTTCGTGAAGAGGGACGTGTCTGAGCGCATTTGTTTGTACCCGTGACTCTTGAGGTGTGCGTGCAGTTTGGTGCTGTATATGTTGGCGGCGGCGGGTGTGCCGTATACATTGCCTTTTAGCTGCCCGTGCGTGGCTGCGTGCTTGAAAGATCCGTCGAACCGCCTTGGTTGCCATACGAACACTTTCCGTTTGTGTTGGTATGCCTCGTGGAGGTACGCTCCCGATATGTCGAAATGTTCGATCTCCATGTTGCAGGACGCAGCGATGGCGAAAAGGGTGCGGATCGTGCTTCTGTCAGCCATGTACGTCGCTGTCTTCTCCGGATCGTAATGAGTGTGTGGGGACATTCTGTCCCCGCGGATCGAGCACCGTGCTTTGTGTTTGGTGCCTGTGTGATCCCTCTTGTAACGATATGTCATCGTCGTCGGGACGATGTCTCGTCTGTTGGTGCTGTCTGTCTGCGATCGCCAGTCAATTGCCTTCATCTCGTCAAGCTGGTTGAGTTCGGTGTCGTGAGCTTCTGCCCACTTTTTGGCGTCTGGGTATTGGCGCGCTTGCTTGAGAGTTTTGGGAGGGGCGGTCGTGTTGGTGACAGTCTTCGGGATGCGTGCTGTTCTTTGCGATTTTTTCTTCGGCGTGCTCTGTGTTTTTTACAGTGCCGTGGTGTTTTCGCAGGGGTCTTGCTGCCGGTGGTAGGCTCTGAAGTCCGCTGCTCGCATTTTGCTGTACCTTCGGGTTTGAAGGTTTTGAACACAGATATGTGTCTCGTCCAGTGCGTACATGTATCTCACTTGTGATGCCTTGCTGTGGAGTTTTGGCATGTTGGGTTTGAGAATGGGGGTATATCCCAGTTGTCCGAACGCAATGAAGTTTTTGAGCTGTGGCTTTTGCTGATGCCACAGCGTGTGAGGGATTCCTTTCACCCCGTGGTGGTAAGTTATGTTGTATTTAAATACAGCATCGCTCAAGGCGTCTTGCCAGTACACGTCGTGGAGTTTGCTGTGTGCGAGCGTGGCTCTCACTTTATCCATGAGTGTGCGATTGATGCGCTCGGCGAGAGAGTTCTCCTGCGGCGTTTATGGCGTCGTCGGTCGGTATTGGATTCCTCTGTGTTCGAGCTGCTTCTGCACTTGTTTGGCGAGGTACTCTTTCGCGTTGTCCGTCACGAGTAGGCTCGGCTGCTCTCCATTTTCCGTTGCTATCCTATCGATGGCTTGGATGATTGTGTGTGGCACTTGTGCCCTATTGTGGAGGCAGAAAACCCATATATATCTCGTGTTCGTATCTATGACTGTGAGAAAGTAGCGACAGTTATGTTGGGACGGGGGGTGTATTGCACCGCAGACATCCGAACAGAGACTCTCTCCTCTTTCTGCGTGGTGTGCCGTGCGTTTGTGTGGCCTCGTGGCTGTTTTCCCGTGTATGCACCCGGTGCATGTCATTTGTGCACTGGTGTCTGGTAGGTCTTTTGGCATTCCAGGGAGTAATTTGTGTCGTGACATGTGAGCTATTGTCTTTGGGTTGGCGTGGTTGAGGCGGATGTGCCATTCCGCCATTTGCTGTGCGGCCTCTGTGGGGATTTGTTGTCTCGACGGTGTGCTGGGTGTGTTTCGCAGTGTCGGTGTTTGGCGTCCCGTGGTGTTGAATGGTAATTGATCGCTGCGTCGCCGTGTGAGGGGGGATGTGAAATTGGGGATGCCTGCATTTTTTTTGGGTGCTGGTTTGGCACGAGTTTTGCTGGTCGTTGTTTCACGGTTGTATGTCCTTGCTCCTTTGGCGGTTGCTTGTGGTTGGAGGCGGTACTGACCGTTTTCGAAATGTGCGGTGAGTTTTGCTGGTGGCAAGCGCGTCGGTTTGTGAAGCATTGCTTTGGTTCTGGAGAACGTCACATGTCCGTGCGCTGCCAGGTCGTGTACTAAGAGCAAATTTTCTTTGATGCTCGGTGCATGCACGGCTGGTACTCGGACGCTATTCCTCTTCTGTGTGATCTTAATTGTGCCAGTGTGCGTGATTGGGACGCGTTGGCCGGTTGCCGTGGTGGTTAGTGTACCGTTGCTGGGTCTCATACACGCGTGGGGTGTAGCGGTATGAGTTGGATTTGCTCCGGAGTCGATGATGAATTTTTGAGTACCTTCGCTCGTGTCGTCGCGTGTTTGCAGTTGCTCTTCGATCGCGTGTAAACGATTATGCAACTGGTGCAAGATGTTTGTTTCGTCAGTCTGTGTGTCGACGTTGTTGTGCGCTGCTTGCGCTTGTGCGTGGGATTGTTTCTGTTTGTACCTCCGAGTGTAGCAGTTTGTTGTTTCGTGGCTGATGCTGCCGTGGATCGTGCACCATGGACCTTTGTATGCTGTGGGTTTTGTGTAGTGAGGTTTGTTGCTCACTGTCCGCCTGGGTTGCATTCTGGTTGCGCGTTTGCGCGGTGCTGGTGCTGTTTGGTGGGTGTGTATCTGGGTGTGCAATAGCTGGACTTGCTGCACATGGTTGATAAACCCGTTGATGGTGAGGGGTGGGTTTCCTGTCATGATGATGGCGAGTTGTCCCATGTCTGGGTGCTGTGCCATTCCCTGTATCATGTACCTCACTGTGGTGCGTTCCACATTGATGTTTGGGAATTGCGCTACTTGCATCCTGTATCGGATCTCTCTGTGTTTTTCAACATAGTCTTTGAGCTCCTGTCCCTGTTGGTATCTCGTGTTGCGAGCTTCTGCATCGAGGAGCTCGTGGTTCTCCGTCGACGATGTGTCCACTGTAGATCTTATGATGTGGCAGATCGTTTGAGGTTCGTAACGTAGAATGTGGGGTGGCAGGATTTTGATGACTTCGTTGGTGAGACTTTGCATGATGGCTTTCCTGATCATGTCCGCTTTCTGTTGTTCTTGCGGTGCGTCCGTGTTCGGCTCTGTGGTCGTGCTCGGTGGTGTGGTGAGAAGGTGTGCTGCCTTGATCGTGCGAGCGTAGATCTCAAGTGCGTCGTACCAGTAAGTGTGATTACTTGCTGTGAGTCTGGGTAGTTGACCCGGGGCCGATGCTTGTTGATCTGTCATTGTTCTGTGGATTTAGAGAGCTGGGGACGAGGGTTAGTGTGTTGCGCGGGGTGGTGTTGGTCTCGCGCGTTTGTCGCAGTTGGGATTGTGGATCGTGTGCTGCGGATCGGTAGTCAGTGGTAGTGTGTGGTGCCCATAACCTGTGATGCCAAGAACTGGTCCGATGCCTCCGACCACCACACACACACACACACACACACATTAACCGTCCGCGCCAGCGTCTCACTCTGTAGTTATACATAAAGTGTTTTGGGAATGATTTGTGGTCATTGCTCGCTCTACGTTGTTGTCTGTAGGAGACTTTTTGATGCACTAGCAACCTGTGACGGCTTCGGAGTTCTCATCGTCCTATTGAAGGCGTAGTGGTAGTTTTTTGACTTTTATGCGGTTGACTAGAAACACTTTACCCTCGGATATCAACTTTTGGATGTTTCATGTATCGAGTAAGGAGCAAAGTTTAATATCCATCGTAATATGTGAACTCCAATGCTTGTGGATCTCTTTTCGTTCCCCATTGTGCGAGGTTCCTTAGATCGAAGGTCCCTTGCCACGAGAGACTAATGCAGTGAAGGTGAGCCCGTTGTCGTATTTTTCGCGCCCCTGGGCGTGGTCCTGTCATTTTTTCCTTAAGTGTACTTCCGCCATCATATAAATCCGAGTCGTCAGACCGCTTCCATCCCCATCTCATATTTGATCCTTTCAGAGCTCACAATGGTTCACCAAATGGGATCTCCCAATGCTGAGATAGGTCACGGATAAACTGTGCGCGCGGCACGGTTTTCGTAAGTTAAAGAGTCAAGCAATTTGTCTGTCCTCGGTGACACGTCTCTCTGAAACCACGGAATACTACCCGGCCTTTTTGCTTGCATCCTCTAATTGTGCTATCCCCATATCTCCAAGTTTCCCTTGCCGAGATACGAGTCCTTATGCGAACATTCTTTTACTTGATTTCGCGTGTCCAAAGCAATGCCACATCAAGACTTGATCATGTAGTTGTTTTCGTGCACCTGTTAGGCTGTAAGCATGCTATTTGCACTGCACCCACTCTTGGAGCCCGTCCCATTGACTACTGAGAGCACCAGATGCATGCTTCGAGTTCAGGTAGGTCCCATGAAAGATGCGGTTAACCTGATGCAAGCCGATGCGCTGACTGTCCGATGAAAAAGTAAAGGCGCCCACGGTGATTATTTCTACCTTTTGGTAGGTTTCCCATGACTGATGAAGTGTTACGGTGCTGCATCACCCTCCGCTGATTCCATATTAGCAATCGATAAATCGCGAAACTCGGTGTAGCCCTAGCCCTTCTCCCAAGATAGCGCACATTTGTTGAACGTTCCATGTGGTGTCCGTTCCGCGAGCCACATGAGTGCATGGCCTAGAGAGAGGAATCGCTCCCATTTTCGTTTCGCAACTGCTTGAACGTCCATGCAAAACCAACTCAGCATTGGTCAAAGCCGCATATCGTTCACTCCACCTCTACGTAAAGTCTGTGCTGGTGATCCGGCATTTAATTCGGACCCCTGATCTTTATGACAGGCATGATGGCGGACAGAAAAACTTCAAAAGCAACCCATCTCGTGTTCTCAGTCATGGATGAACTGCATTGAAGAATTTAGTCATTCCAAAGAACAAACATATTTATTCCGTATGCATATCAGCAAACAGGGCAAGAGAATTGCGAAGGCGTCCAGACTGACAACTGTGCATTTTTACCTCCCTTACTCTGTCGCAAGCGCCATTCGTCATGTCTGTATGAAACGCAACATGAAGCCACACTGTTGTTGTCCAGACGTTCGTCCATGCCGCCACTATGCCATGCGTCGTTGCTGCACCGTTCAGCCTGCTCTCGCAAGGCTGCCCAGTCTCGATCCTCACGGACATCACGATTCGCGTCATGCCCTTCAGGACAGATTCCGTGACTACAGAGTAATCGGTAACGCCGCAGTTGTTTCGAGGGTACGTTGTCTAAAGATGAGTCGGGCATTTTGGAAGAAGTCTCTTTCAACCAGCATTCGCCAGCAGTTTTAGAATTCCAAGAAGTTGTGTGGTTTGGGGGTCCAGTGCAACGAATGGAATCCTTTTTAGGAGAAACCTATCAAGAGTTTTCTTTTCGTTGCCAGCAGTAGTTAGAAAAGAAGAAAAGGTGGGGGGACATGGAACACTGCACTACTGTGCGATACAGCCTACTGCCTCATAAGGTTTAAGTTTCCTTATCACGCCTTGCAGATATTTGTCAGTTGTGTAGGTCTGGTACAGTATCGCGGTGCGGATCAGGCGATTTCCAGCAGACTAGTTGCGGATTGCGTGGGAGGCCGGAAAACGTTACCCAGTGGGGTGCAAGTGGACGGGGTGGAGAGGCGCGGTCTGCTGCATGCGTAGCCATTATCAGCTTGGGGCGGACGCACCGGATCGAGAGTACCTGTGTCACACGCCAGCACTGGTGTTCCTGGACGATCTGTATGAGGCGCCTAAGTGAACAGGCAGTTCCGGGGCTCGCTGAAGAGAGCGATGCAGGATGCGAGGTAGAGAGGGTTTGCGCACCCCGTGACAGGGGTGAAGTCGGTGAGCGAGCGATGCTGCAATAAGAATGTGCGGAACGCCTGTGGACGGGAACATCACGCCCGATGAGAAGATGTGAGTAGAGGCTAATATCAGAAGTCAAAGGCGACTATTTGCGTCCGGGTTTGCAGATAAGAACCGTGAAAGTGCTGCTGCTCGTGGTCGCAAGTGTTCTCGAGGGTTCTTACCCCGCGGGCGAAACCATCCCAAAATTGCGATCGCAGACACAAATCGAGTTCTTCCCCATTTGGCCGGGATAGCTGGAGACTGAACATACTTCAGACAACAAGACTTGTATTCTTGGCTGAGTTCGGCGTCTTTTTCTCTTTCCGAAGAGGAATTCTGATTGTGAGGGGGCAAGGGCTTGCGCGTCAAGCTGCTCCTCTCCGTCAGCAGACGAAACGAAAATTCCTAGATTGCGCACTTTCTCGCGTAGCGTCCAAACTGTTTACTTGTACTGAAACCTTTTGACAACTTAACTCAACTACGAAACATGCATGCACAAAACCTTGGTACAAAATCCTAGATTCACGCCCCGGAACCTGCATGAGAGCCGATCCTTTCATTGAATCTTGTGTGTACTTTTTGGAAGAATTCATAAAACTCTCGGGTATCCACTTGCGAGCGGTCCTTCTTCCCCCTCTTGAATTGAACGGTTGATACCTTCTTCTCCGATGTACACGTTATGCTTATCAAGAGCTTCTCCCGGCGAAGTGGCGCTTCACATTTCATCTTGCTCTCGTTGCGTTTCATTAACACGCTACACTCCATTGCCGTTAGTATTCGCCCGATCTCGAGCATGCATTTATCGGGAGGTAGGTCGGAGTCGAAGCTCGTCATTGAAGAACTCTTTCGTCGGTTAAACATCCCAAATGCGAACATGCCCCTGGTGGCATGTTCATCACGGGAGGGAGAGCGGAAATGTCTGCTTCTGCTAGGTCCTGACCCGTCTGAGGCCGCCGACGCACCCGAGTGTACACGCCCTGAATCCCGGGAAACAGTCTTGCGAGATTCGATACCAAAGTCAGATGTCGTAGTAGAACTCTTTCTCTTCAATGTTTTGTTCAATCCTGCATCGTGACTAACACTCTGCGGAATCCTCGCTCCCTTCTGAATTGCAGCATTGGTCTCAATTTGCATTCGAGGATCAGAGTCCCCAGGGTCATCAAATAGTGTGGTAGGTCCATTCGTGTGTGAAGGAGGTGGATATGATGGAGGAGGACGAGGTCTAAATGGATCCCGCACTGTCGATTGGGTCACCACCATCCTCTGTTGATTCTCTGCTGTGGTAACGGATTTGCCCGGAGCGGCATAGGAAGGAGGAGGGGGTGGAGGAGGTGGTAGCGCCCCGCGTTGTACCCCTCCACTTGGTTTCGGAATTACTGCAGGCGAGGGAGACGGCACCGAATTGGAAGCCTTGCCCGCGAGAATTCCTCGGTCCCAACTCGCCACATTCGCTGCTTGCGGGGGTTTGGGAGCTACGGGAGGTGGTGGAATAACCCTTTGACGAGGCCTCGTCGCTCCACTGGCTTGCATAGGAGGCATGGGTGGTGGTGGCGGTGGTCGGGTGGAAGCTTTCGGAAACCGGTTCTCGGGGGTAGAATTGGATCTCGTCGCACTTGCGACTTCCTGGTCAATGCTTTGACTACTCAGCGAATCTTTCTGTGCATCTCCTTCCACTGAAACATTACCAGCGCCGCTCGGCACTAATGAAATGTTTTCAACGTCGAGATCCCTAAAAGTGTCAGCATTTTCTCCGGCAGTAGTCGCATCCGGAGAGATCATCTCCATTTCTCCCAGGTCGTCCGTGACGTCTGCAACTTCCGTCATTTCCTCTTCGACTTCCTTTGGTTCGAGCTTCTGTAGCAAGGACTGAATGCTGGCAATGTCCTCTTCAGATAAAGGAGTCCCACTATCATCATCAAGCACAACATTTCCATTCTTAGGAATCGTCGCACTTGCTCGTCGATTATCCCAAAAGTCCAAAAGGCGGCTAAACGCTTTCAGCTCAGCCTCAGTAACTTGCAGTGTTTCGTCTTCAGAGTCACTGTCTTCGTCCAATTCTTGTGTTAAAATTATACCCCAAGCCCCTGTGATTGCCTTCGCGCGGGCGAAGAATTGAGCATGACTCGGCGTCACAGCCTTCCCATCATGTACAGAATTGCTTCCATTGGCATTGATATCACGATTCGAGTTAAAACTGGGAGAAGCTGTAATGCCAATGTTGTTTCCAAGCTTGAAAATGCGGCGGTATCGAGCCAACGCAGCCGTAAGTCGTTGTTTCAGAGGTGGTTCCCCTTCTTCATCCTCTTTGGGGATAGAGAAGTCATTGCCCTGATTAAGTCTTCCCGTCGTATTCCCGATGTACTCCACGGTCGTTTCTTCATCCACAGCCTCATCTGGTCCCGCACTTTGTCGTAGTGCGATCTCATTAGTATGGGAAGACTCATGAGGCTCCTCTGTAGGCAAGCTTTCATTCCGTAGCGATGCAGGCGGCTGCGGGGGCTTCATGCTTCTTTCTTCGGAACCTGTAGTCTCGACAGATTTTGCTGCGGGTGCAGAATCCAGGTGAGCGACCGGGTATCCAGGCGTTTGCGGTGCTTCTGCTCGATCCCCAAACCGTGGCGCAGGAACTGACTGAGCATCCGGCTGAGAATCTGCCTGTCCTGTAGAAGACCGATCACTCTTGAAGGAGGATGAGTGTAAGGATGCATCAGGAAGGGGGGGCGGCATTTCAGATTCTGTTGCCATTTTGTTGAAAAGCATGCGGCTTCTTTCGACAATAGAGAGCGGTCTCGACGGCTCCGATTCAGGCTCCGGTTGCGGTACTGCTGCTGTCCTCTGGTCTGGTTCCTTCGATTCCGGTTCCTTCTCTTCACTCTCCTTCTGCTGTGGTGATTTCGTATCGAACGTCACGGTTCGACCAACATCTGCCTGCCTCTCAGCCCGCGCGGTTGCCTTCCGCATCCAAGACGCATCTCCCCTTGCCAGAGCTGCTGGAGTAGTTACAGGAGCCATTGTTGAGGATTTGTAGGTGCTCTGCTTCTTAACACCAGATACAACCCACTTTCGCGTACCCTGCGGCGGAGAAGATGGCGCTCTTGTCGCTAAACCTGAAGACAGCGACGTCGACGACATACTGCCGAGGGTGTCATTTGACTTAGAGGCGGATGTTCCTCCGTCGGACACTCTCGGGTCGCTTGTACCTGCCGCCGGTGACGGCGTTACTGCGAGCGTAGTCTTGATGTTTGCGGAGTTTTCTGAACTGAAGGGTGCTGGAGGTGCAGCCCCGCCAACAACCACAGGTGTGGTCGGCAAAGTATTCGTAGTGGCAATATCTCCCTCCAGTGGTGCGCGGTTTGCGGCGGGAATAGTTGGAGGTGGCGTCGGAGGCGCTCCGCTAGACACAGCCGCCTGTCCATGCCCACTCTTCCTGCGTGGCGGTGTGGAGGTACCAGTATAATTCAAACGAGCGCCGTCACTGCTTGGCGTCGGGGGCATTGGAGGGTCCCTTGTCACCGGAATCCTTGCTTCGGGTACGGCTGCATCATATGTTCTGACTGCATCATTGGCGGGCCTCCCATTGGCGATGCTGCTTGAATGGATAGAATCAGCAGTTGGCGGAGGCACATAGGTGCTCTTCGGGTAATCCCTGGCTTCCTTGCTCTTCTTCCTCACAATGCCCTTTTGAGGGTACAGCGGCACTGGTGGCACTGTCCGTGTAGGGCTGGGGATGGGTGGCGCAGCTAGTGGCGGTGGCGGAACCGTCAGAGGCGGCGGCGGCGGTAAGGGACTACTCCCTCTTGGAACTGATGGCGGTGCAGGGACCTGACTTGTGATCGGAGGTGGGGGAGGAAGAGGCGGTAATGGAGAACGCGGCGCGGGCGGAGAAACTGACGGTGGAGCTGGCGCTCTTTGTGCAAGAGGCATGGCATGCGAGCCTGAATCTATGACGATAGGCGGTGGAGCTGGCTGGCTTACCATTTCGCGGATATCGCGAGATCTCGGAACATGATCCACACTAGACTTTCTAGAGTGCCCACGCCTCCTCCGCCTGCTCACAGGGGGGCTCGCTCCAGTTCCAGTGGCGGAACGCGGAACCGCGTCATCGCCGTCATAGTCAACAGCAAACCAAGGATGCTTCTTCACTTCCGATAATGTATAGCGCTTCTCGGGCACCTTGTGCAATAAGCGAAGTACGAGGTCCTTCGCATCAGGGGGAAATTTCCTCGGAAATTTGACGTCATCGCGTTGGATCATACGGTACAAGACCTTTGTGTTCTCATCGTAAAACGGTAAGAAGCCGGCAAGCAATGCGAAGAGAATAATACCACAAGACCAGGCATCAACCTTGTCTCCGCTGTAGCCTTGCTTGTGGCGCGCAATGATCTCTGGTGCGCAATAATTTGGACTGCCGCACTGGGTGTGCAGCAACTCCTCAGTAGTGCTCGCGCCCTTCATTGCGGATAGACCAAAATCAGTAATCTTTAGCTCGCCGGTTGTCTCATCAATAAGGAGATTTTCGGGTTTAAGGTCGCGATGACAAACGCCCCGTCGATGGCAATACTCGATTCCGTCCACAAGCTGCTGAAAATACCTTCTGCCAATGGTCTCCTCCAGTCTTCCTTCGTTGAGGATCTTAGTGAAGAGCTCACCGCCAGTGACGAGATCCATGACGATATAAAGCTTGCTCTGACTGGTGAGCACCTGACGGAGATTGACGATATTGCGATGTTTGAGGGCTTTCATAATAGCGATCTCGCGTCGTACGTTCATGGTCATCTCCTGAGCCTTGATGTCGCTCTTGTCCATAATTTTGACAGCAACTTGTTCGCCAGATTCTTCATGCACGCCAAGCTTGACCCTAAAAAAAGAACAGGCGGGGTTCAGGGAATGGAGCAACGACCGAGAAGATGATAAGTGTGAGGTCAGTATGTGCTCGACGAAAGTGCAGGGTTCCGCAAACAGGCATGGCGCTGTGGCACGTGGAATGCCGCGAAAGCGCCCGAGATACGAGATAGCGGTACTTACTTTCCAAAGGCACCCTCCCCAAGGGTCTCAAAGAGCAAATATTTTCCGACGCGACTCGCCATGGTGAGACGAACGCGCTCCGCGAAAACAAACAGCTGCACACTCGCAGCTGGGGGATGTGGCGAAAGACGCTAGGATAGGACGCAGCTGATGCAAGAAATAGAAAGAATGGGAAGATAGCTGAGTAGAAATGTCGTGGAACGAAGCGTGCGCTGGACGAAACAGAATGGGGGAAGAATTGGAGGAAATCGCGGGTGGCACGAATAAGAATATAAGAGGCAAGATGCACAAGGGAAGAAGCGATGCGGAAGAAGCGATGCGGAAGACGGGATGCAATGTAGAGATGGTAAGAGAGAAGCGATTTGTGGTGAGACAAAGGGAAGGGAGGGGGAAAGGAAAAGGGAGGGGAGAGGGAAAGGGGTGCGGTGGGACGGTGTGGGGCGCAAGGAGAGTGTGGGGCTGGTTTGACGGCGTGGTGGCGCGGGGAGAGGGGGTGAGGGAGAGGGCGGTGCACCCAAAAGAGGCGGTGGTGCATGGAGGTGGGGAGACGGTGAAAGTGGGGCGGTGTGATGGTATTTTGTGGGGGTGGGCATGATTGGGTGGGAACGGGGGAAGTGTGGGGTCCGCGGGGCGCGTGACGGGCAGTGTGCGAGGAGGGTTGTGGATGGAAATGTGAAGAACAAGGGCCCCTCGGCGCGGGGCTACGCGTGTGACCGAAGATGCCGAATACGTCGGCCGTGCCAGGTGGCGGCGTCGCAAATGACGTTGATATGGAGGGTCATGGGGACCGGGGGTCGGCAACGAGGAACCCTTTTTCAAGGACACTTGGATGCCGTTGACACGGCCATCACTTTCGTCACCCTACAGTTGCCGTAAACCGCCCCGGATTTATCCCCCCCCCAGCACTAGGTGAGCCCGGCC